GCTCAATCTCACAAATAACATGGAGATGAATGAGATAAACTGGCTTTGGTTCATGATACAATGTAGCTAAGATTACATCATGGGATCTTTAACAGCCACCGGCATCATTGGAACTGACAGGCAAGATTCTGCTTCAAACAACATCCAAAAGTTGAGGATGACAATGAGGACATTCCTCAGCACTGAAGCAACAGCCAGAATTATGTGTTGAAGGCTTGAAGTTAGGCTCAATGCCAACTGATACATCGGCACGAAAGCTGCAAGCTGAGCCAAAGTGGCACAATGAATCAAAGGTTGTTCAGAAAGTGATGGGGTTTCACCCTGTGGTGGGTATCTCTGCTTATTAGATGATGGAATGTGCTAATACTACCTCTGTGTAATATTCATCCATGGGCTTGCTGTGTGTTTCTAACTATATCCGATATGAGTCCCTAAAGGCTAGTGTCCAAGCCTTAGCTGATGTGCATTTCCCTATTCAAAGATGGCACATAACTTCAACTGAAACTTTTCCTTCCATGCTCTTAAATCAGCGTTCCACAGCACAATAATATAAATTAAAACTGTGGATGCTGAAGATCTGAAACAACAGAAATTGCTAGTGAAACTCAACAGGTCTGGCAGTATCTGTGGGAAGAAAGCAGAGTTAAGGTTTCAAGTCAGATGACTCTTCATCAGAACTGATAGCAGTTGGGAAAAGCTGGTATTTATGCTGAAACCAAGGTGGGGGAGGAAGGTGGAAGGGAAGAGGTGAGCGGATAGGTGGTGATGGAGCCCAGAGAAGGAGAAAGATATATAGGAAAGAGGCACAGCTAGCCCATTTTCTCACACTTCGCTCTTATTATTTCTTATTTAGATTTTCTTTTGTCCTGGCCTGCTATTCATTATGTCCTTGTTTACCTATCCCTTTCATATCTCTCTCTCTGGGCTCCATCTCCGCTTATCTGCTGACCTCGCCCCATTTTCCCCCCTCCCCCTACACCATGTCTTCCCATAAATACTCCTTTTTCCTACCTACTAATGGTTCTGATGAGGACTTTAATTGCTAACTTTGCTTTATTCCCACAGATGTTTCCAGACCTGCTGTGTATCTCCAGCAATTTCCATTTTTGTTCCACAGTACAATGTTCCTCTAAACTTTGACTTTCCGAAAGGACTTGGCCTCTGGATGCATCTATAACAAAGTGATATTTTATTGTTGCTTTGACATTGGTCGATATAGGTTTGTACAGTATATCAAAATAAAACGTAACCAATGTTATTCAGAATGTCAACGATGCCCAATGTCATTGAAACTGATATGGCATATCACATCACCTTAAGTTCAAGCCAGTCACATAAAATGCTCACACAGTCTGATGGCCCTTAAAGGCTAAGCACTTACATTAAACACTTCAAAAATGAAGCAGACTCTACTGATTCATGATTTCCCTTGCTGTGCAATCAACAAGGATATAGTCTTTTTTTAAATCTATGTATTGTCGCATCAATTACAAAATGCAAAACATTGTGGATAATACAATGTACTGATATAAATTCAATCAGACAAGGGTCACCAGTCGCCCAGTACCATACTGTTCACAATCTACTATCTGTCTTTGACTTTGGGTTTACATGAAGCCTGAGGCACTAGTTAGACAGACACATACGTATACAATCGACAAAGTAAGTATTAACCAAGTTGAAACAAATGAAAAAGAAATTGCCGGAGCAACTCTTACAGGTCTGGCAGCATCTGTGAAAGAAAACAAAGGCCAGTGACCCTTTTTTGGAACTAATAGCAGCTAGGAAAAGACAATATTTCTGCTGAAGAGGGATTGTGAAGGAAGGAAGAGTCATTAGATGGAGATGAAGCTGGGCTTGGGGGGTGGTGGGCTGGTGTTGGTGTTGATGGGGGTAGAGAGAGACAGAAAGTGAAAGAGAAAGAGAGAGAGAGAGTGAGGGAGAGAGTGAGAGAGAGAGAAAGAGAGAGAGAGATAGAGAGGGAGGGAGAGAGAGAGAGAAGGTTAGGCAGACAAACGGATTCTTGATAGTAAGCCAGGGATGAAGAGCAGTTAAATAGATGATAATGTGGACTATGAGTAGTTGATGCCATCTACCCAGTCTGTACCTTTGAACAGCTGATACATGCAGGCAAAAGAATTAATTCTTATTTCTGTGAAGCTTGTAATCTGGAGTAAAGAAAATAAGTTTGTTACCCAGTAGGCTGACTGGATTAAACAGACAATACAGGGTCAATTTCTTAAATAGATAGGAAGAATCTGCGTTTATATTCCACCATCTGTTGGCTCAGAATGTTCCAAAATGATTTGCTGTCAATGTCGTACTTTAGGGAAACAGGGTCACCAAATTATGTACAGCAACATTCCACAAGCAGCAATGAGAGAAGTGATCAGTTATGTTGATTGAGGATTCATTAGGACACCAGGAAGAAGATGCTACAAAGGCTTCAGCGAAGGAGGTCATGAATCCACTTAAATGTTTTAAAATTGAGGAGGAGATATTAAATTAAATAAAACACCAGTACAGGATGAGATGCATCCAAGGACACTGATGGAAATGAGAGTGGGAAGTGCAGAAACAACAGTGATAATATTCCACTGTTGACAGGGCTGTGGAGATATGCTCTGATCTATTGTATTGTTCATACTTTAGCAAACTGATTTGAATGATTAGCACATAGGTAGCATAACTAGGTTAGTACCACATTTTAAGGTGTGCTGCTGCAGCTGCTAGTTTGCCCTTTTACACAATGCATTAAACTAAGGTTGGAATCCAAGACTAATAAGCAGAAGAATTAGGTGCAGAAGAAAATGATTTGGCACCTTGAGATTGCTTTGCCTTTCATTAGGTCATGCCTGATTTGACTGTAGTCTCAACTCCACTTTCCTGGTGTCTCGCATACCTTTTGACTACCCGGTGGATCAAAAATCTGTTTAACTCAGGTTGCTTGCAGCCTCCACTGCCTTTGGTTATTCATATAAAAAGATACCCAAATCACTTTAACTGTATTGTTCTTGCAGTCTCTCCGTTTAAATGATATCTTGCTTTTCTTTCCTCTTACAAAAGTGGAAAAAGTCACATTTTTCCCCTCCCAGACCCAATCTGCCAATTGTTTGTCCTATCTCTTAATTGAGGTGTGAGAGATATTTCAAGATCACAGAGGTTATAGATTATTGTGGTATACAAGTCTGCTGCATCAGAACGTTATTGTAGATTATTATACTGCCCTGTTTAGTGCACTGATGGTGTCACTTTATACAATGAATGTCCTCACTGTGGAGGTAAGACGTTGTCTTCACAAAGGCTATGATTTGGCCATTCCTAACAATTCTATTGAAGTCAAATGTACCTGTGACAGGTTGGTTGTTGAAGAAGGGCTCACTCATTAATCTTCTAAACTCGGATTAAGTACATACTTTTTAGTGCCATAGAGTCATAGAGATCCCTGTTCCTAGAAAACCTTACAATAAAGTGGCATCCCTACTATTTGCCACCTGAGTTCACCACCGCCATCCTGAGAGCAGTCTACATACACCCCATGCAGATGTGAAGAATGCCCTAGATGTGATTTACGCTGTCATAAACACTCTCGAGACGAAATTCCCCAAGGCCCTATTCATTGTGGCTGGTGACTTCAACCAAGCCAACTTCAAGAGGGCGCTGCCAAAGTACCACCAACACATCTCCTGCCCTACCAGAGGACCAAACATTCTGGGTCACTGTTATACAATCAACAAAGATGCCTATCGCTCCATCCCCTGCCCACACTTCAGAAAATCCGATCACAGCGCTGAGTTCGTCCTCCCAGCTTACAAGCAAATGCTGAAATGGGAGAACGCCTCGCAAAAGGAAACAGTGCTGGTCCAAGGCTGTGGAAGACCGTCTCCGGGGCTGCTTGGAATCGATGAACTGGACTGTGTTCAAGTACTCAGTGGAAAACATAGACGGATACACCGCCACCGTCACAGACTTCATTGGCAAATGCGTGGAGGACTGTGTACCAAAGAAGACACTCCAAGTGCTCCCCAATCGTAAACCTTGGACAAACCAGGAAATCCACTCCCAACTGAAGACCAGACGTGCAACATTCAAGTCGGGTGACCAGGACCAATACAGGAAATCCAGATATGACCTCCACAAAACCATCAGGAATGCACGGAGGCAGTACCAGACCAAGTTAGAGGCCTAAACCTGCCAAATAGACTCCTGCCGCCTGTGGCAAGGTCTAAACAACATAAGGGGATACAAAATGAAGCAGTGGAAGATAGTGGACAAAGACACATTCCTCCCTGACGCCCTCAATGCTTACTATGTTCAGTTTGAGCAGAATGCCAGCAGTGGGGTGACACCTGCCCCGACTGCCCTGGACACACCTGTTCCCTCCGGCACCACTGCAGACGTCAGATCGGTCTTCTGGGGAGTCAACCCAAGGAAAGCTTCAGGCCCGGACAGTGTCCCCAACTGAGCACACAGATCCTGTGTAGACTGACTGGCAGAGGTATTCACTGACATATTCAACCTCTCCCTCCTACAAGTTGTGAAGTCCCCACCTGTTTCAACAAGACTACCATCATCCCTGTACCTAAGGAAGCACATGCAGTGTGCCTTAATGACTACCACCCAGTGGCTCTGACCTCAATAATCGTGAAGTGCTTCGAGAGGCTGGTCATGGACTGCATCAACTCCAGTCTCCCAACCTGCCTCAGTCCCCTACAATTTGCCTACCAACGTAACAGGTCCACAGCGGATGCCATATCCCTAGACCTGCACTCATCCCTGGAACATCTGGACAACAAAGGCACCTACATCAGACTCCTGCTCATTAACTACAGCTCCACCTTCAACACCATTATCCCCTTCAGACTGATCTCAAAACTCCGGGACCTTGGTCTCGGCTCTGCCCTCTGCAGCTGGATCCTTTCTGACCCACCAGCCACAGTTAGTGAGGATAGGTAATTGTCATTTTGTTGCAACATTTAAACAAGATCAATTTTGATGAGCATGTTCACACAGCAACAAAGTTCTAATGGTACATAACAGCCTGGTCATTGACATCAGAACAACTGGACTACAATGCAGGGATATTACTCCTACACACCAATGAGTCAAGCACCTTCGACTGTGCAACCTCTAAAGTTGATGAACATAAGCTGTCAGCACATTGCAGAATCCAGCACCAGGGTGAAAAGAAGCACCAGCAAGACAGAACAGAAAAAAGGTGCATTGAAGGAGTGTGTTTACTTTAAATAACTGTCCCAATGAAACTGACTCAACACAGGAGCACCCCCCCCCCAAGGATGCTTCCTCAGCCCCCTACTGTACTCCCTGTACACCCACGACTGTATTGCCAAATTCTGAATGAATGCCATCTGCAAGTTCACTGATGATGCCATCGTGGTGGGACGGATATCTAACAATGACGAGTCAAAATACAGAAGGGAGATAGAGCGCTTGGTGATGTGGCGCAATGAGGACATCCTCTCTCTCAATGTCAGCAGTACTAAAGAACTCATCATTGACTTCAGAAAGAAAGGAGGAGAACATCCCCCCATTTACATCAACGGAACTGAGGTTGAGAGGGTGGAGAGCATCAAGTTCCTCAGAGTGATGATACCCGACGACCTGTCTGGGACTTCCCATGTGGCTGTGATGGTCAAGAAGGCACAATAATGCATCTTCTTCCTCAGGCAGCTCAGGAAATTTGGAGGACCCTCACCAACTCCTACAGATACACCATTGAAAGCTTCCTCTCCAGGTGCATAACGGCCTGGTTTGGCAATTTCTCTGCCCAGGACCGTAAGAAACTACAGAAGGTGGTGTGCACAGCCCAGACCATCACAAAAGCCAACTGCCCATCCATGGACTCCATTTACACAGCTCGCTGCCACGGAAAGGCTGCTAACATCATCAAAGACCCATCGCATCCCCGGTAATGATCTCCTACAACCTCTTCCATCAGCCAGAAGATACAGAAGCTTAAACACATGCATCAGCAGGTTCAGGAACAGCTTCTTCCCTGCCATTGTTAGACTGATGAATGGGACTCTCTGGCTTCAAATAATGCTGATCTTGCTAATGTTGATCTGACCTAGCGCACGCCCTGTGCAATGTAACCTATATTGTCTAAGTCTTTTTACAACCTCTGATCTGTACATTCTTGCTTACTATGATGTGCCTGTACAGTTCGTAAACAAAGCTTTTCACTGTACTTAGGTACACGTAAGAATAAATCAATCAATCAGACATACAACATGGAAGCAGAACCTTTGGTCCAACTCGTCCATGCTGACCAGATATTCTATATGAATCTAATCCCATTTGCCAGCATTTGACCCATATCCCCGTAAACCCTTCCTATTCATATACCCATCCAGATGCCTTTTAAATGTTGCAATCATACCAGCTTCAATCACTTCCTCTGGCAGCTCGTTACATATACGTGCCACCATCTGCGTGAAAAAGTTGCCCCTTAGATCCCTTATATATCTTTCCCCTCTCACCTTAAACCTATGCCCTCTAGTTTTGGACTCCCCCACCATGGGAGTAAGATGTCTTTCTTTAGAATTGGCCCATTTGTCCCTGCAGTGAATCTACACGGCACCACTTTGTTTTCCTTTGTGTGGTACTCCAGCTGGCTGGTTTTGTAGCTTTCCCAATAAGGAAGCAGCATTTTGTAAAATATCAGCGGCAGTATTTGCACACAGCCATCATTTTGATTGACTTCTTGGAAAAAACTATGAAAATCAAGGTTGTAAATCTTTTACAGCTTTGTCCTGTAGTGAGGTAATTTCAGCAAATATTATCAGGGCTCAGAAAACACTCATGCATCAGGTATCATGCATTTCTCCCAATAATGAAGTTGAAGCAGTTTGCCGAGCATCTATAATCTCACGACTCATGTTACTGGTCATCTGAACATTCAGTCAAGCAATCTAACATCAACTTTAATAATTTATACAATAGCAAATTGTTCATCATTTGGCATTGCATTACAATACAGACAGCCACCCTCCTTCATGCTAGGTCCCATATTCTTCAGAATTCTTGAAAATATAGTTGTACAACCTCTATAGTAAAATGAATCATTTTGAGATCTAAAGTCTTAAACTTGCAGTAGTTACTGCTCTGTGATGTCAGTTGGGACTATTTCTTCACTGAGCTGGTTGGATTAGGGTAAAGAATTGTTAAAGGCACAATGTTAATAAAAACGATACCTGTTGATTATCCTGTTGTGTTTTTATGACAGGCAAAATATTCAAACTGCTTCATTTCAAAACAATGAGTCTGAGTTGGAGTGCCGAGTTCTGAAGAAGGGTCATTGGATCCAAAACATTAAATCTGTCTTCTCTCCACAGAAACTGCCAGATCTGCTGAGTTTCGCTAGCAATTTCTGTTTTTGAGTCTTTCTGGAAACTGTCCAGATAATTGTGCAAGGGTATTGGGTCAAAGTTGGGTTCAGTTATCAAGAGGATAAAAACTGTCTAGGCTCCCCCCATGAACAATTACTGTGTAGTTTTGGAATCAAAGGATTGCCAGTACAAGTGGAATTCAATCCCAGCACTAGTCAGTGTCTTAACAACAGTGAGTTGGGAAAGAACCAGAGAATAAAGGAAACATGATGTGAGTTTAAATTTGAATACAACTAGTTCCAATTTGGGCCAATTCATTCAGGATAGTCCATGTGGTTTAGGGACAGCACGCAAGCTGTTGGCTCATGTTACTGCAGTCAAAACAATAGACCTTTCAATTTATACAGATCTGGAAAATAAAGAAAAAAAAATAACAAAAACAAAAATAAAAGTGCTCTAAATACTCAGCTGGTCAGGCAGCATTGCCTGAAGAGAAGCAGAATTAAAACTGAAACTGAGAACCACCTACCCTGCCCTCAGCTCTGACATTCCTTCTCTCCCTCTTTCAACCTTGAGCTGGTGTTCTTGCCTTTAGTCACTCACTTTTGGTCTCTGGTATCACTCTGGGTCTCTGGAGGGAGAATTACCATCAACTGCCCCCCTCCCTGTCCTTTCACAATGGCAGTGGTGGCATGGAGGGTTGATGGCCTCTGAATTTGCAGCTAAACTTTGGCAGGTTAGACTTTGCCACCTGGAATCCCAATGATATGGAAAGTGCAAAGGTGTCCTTTTAGGTGCCTGAAGGTCACATAGTTCAATCAAGTTTCCCATGGAACTGACAGATGTTCTCCACGGGCTGTTTGGCAGAATCCTGGCCATTCTTCCTGAATACCAACCAAACTCTAACATATTGAAGAAGCATAAGTTTATGTGAGAAACGTAATCAAGGGTTTCTCCCACTGAATTCACCGATCTGACATCCAAAACATCATTATGTTTAAATTGATGCCGTTATTCCTTTCTACCAGAAAGAGGCCTTTCTTCTGATTTAGCAAGAACTGCGGATGCTGGAGTCAGAGATAACACAGTGTGGAGCTGGAGGAACACAGCAGGTCGGGCAGCATCAGAGGAACAGGAAAACTGATGTTTCGGTCAGGACTCTTCTTCAGAAATCAGAAAACCAAAACATCAGCTTACCTGTTCCTTTGATGCTGCCTGGCCTGCTGTGTTCCTCCAGCTAAACACTTTGTTATATCTATTCTCTGATGTCATAGCTTGTCTATAATTTACACCCTAGATTTAGCATCCTTGATATCACTGTTAATCTACAACTGACTGGTAAAGCTGCATCACTGCTAACTCTAGTGAAGTTGTAGTATATGGGATGACAGCATGTTGTAATGACAAGATTCATCTTTGCATTTGGCCCCATTTTCTCTCTCAGCCCTGACAGAATGTCTTTCTGATGTAGCAGGCAAGATTTGGAGCAGCGGGTGACAGCCAATCGCTTCATCATATGCCAGAGGCTTGGTCAGACATGATCACACTCTCCACTCTCACACGGAAAATAGAATATTGGAATCAAACTCATGGCTGTTACTCCTGCCTGATGGGACTGTCACCTGAGTACAGATGGCAATTCAAAAAATGGCTCAATAACAAATGACTTAGAATCCAGTCAGCCAAAAACATGTTTCCGGCTTATGAAAAGGATATTTTCTCCTTGGTCAGTGTTCTAATTTCTCTTGACATTTCTTTACTGTTCAATTTAACAGCATCAGCAACATCGATGCCAAAAGTGTTTCAAGTCTTCAAATAATTGTGGCCGAACTTAAAGATTATTCACGTCAAGAGCATAGCCCTGATGAAACGATTGTTCCACTTGCTTGAGTCTCATGTCATGTGCAAGATTAGACTGGGATATTTCTTTTCCTTCCCCTTTACATGGCTTCCAATTCCAACGAGATCCAGATGACGCATTACATTGCACACATGCTTTCAAACCCCATTTGGCATTCTCTTTTTTTTTTGGGAGCTCCTGGATCGTGGCAGTGTGTCTTTTCACTGTAAGAAGACTTTGATCTATTGTTTGTTCTTTGCCAAGTTGGAAGTTTTCTTGCACTGATTGAATCAAAACTCTGGGTAAAGATCAAATTCTGAAGCACGCATCTAAGCCTGGCAATCCTTCTCCTGGTGCCTTGTTATTGATGGAAATACTTAACTATTGCAAAAAATATATATTCCCTTGAAAATTCTTGTAACAACTCTTGGCTCTGAAAATGACCAATAATTTTTGATATGAGACAAAATCATGATCTGAAAGAAAATCAAGGGAGCAATAAATCATCTAATTTTGTCCTTCCCACTGGTTCCTAAGCACATGACTAATGTTCTTGCATGAGCTGAAAGCAATGGTTTGACCTGTTTTCATGAATTCATCATTCATTTTGATCAGGGATAATGGTCAATTGAATCGCATGTATCCTGGAAAGATGGAGAAAAAATTGGAAGAGTGGACTTTGGTAACAGTGGACCAAATATCTTCATTGATAAGTTCCAATTTGTCATCACGTTGGTATCTTTTGGCTTCATGTGTTTCTTCATTAGCCAAGGTGTACAGAATGACTTTTACTTGGATGGTAATGCCAATGCTGGAAATATCATTGTCAAGGATCAATGAGTTAAGTAGGTTTAGATTTGTGATTGGAATTGCGTTTAACCATGTGGAGAGAAAATTATGCTTTTATGTGTGAAATTGTATCAGACTGTCTATAAATGTATTGATAACAAATACACTGCCATCCTCTCCTTGTTAAAGAACAGAATTCGCACCAGGTGTGCTGTCTTGAGTTTTAGTAGCATTTAGCTTGATTCTGAACTTTGGCTGTT